TTGCTTCAACAGCTCCACCACTTGCTGCTGCTCATGCGCAGCTCGTTTCATTTGTCTAAGCCCCCCATTATCAGAGGTTTTAACTTACAAAGATCCAAAATCTGCCTGCATTGGATTTCCTGGCTCTGTTCCCAGTTCTGCTCCCTGAAGGCACAGAAAATAGGCCTACTCTTCTATCTTTCAGGTCCCCACTTCCTTCCCTAAAGTGTTTTCTTCTCTCAGGTCTTCACTCTCTGAACCATTCTTCCTGGGTCATGCTTTCTACTCCCCTTTCCTAAGTTGGCAGTTTCCTGGGTCTAAGTTTGTCAATATCCTATTTTTAAACATGTCCTTTTTTATTTTATTTTTGTGAGGAAGATCAGCCCTGAGCTAACATCCATGCTAATCCTCCTCTTTTTGCTGAAGAAGACCGGTTCTGAGCTAACATGTATTGCCAATCCTGCTCCTTTTTTTTTTTTTCCGCCAAAGCCCCAGTAGATAGTTGTATGTCATAGTTGCACATCCTTCTAGTTGCTGTATGTGGGACGTGGCCTCAGCATGGCCGGAAAAGCGGTGCCTCGGTGCGCGCCCGGGATCCGAACCCGGGCCGCCAGTAGCGGAGCACGTGCATTTAACCGCTAAGCCACGGGGCCGGCCCTAAACATGTGCTTTTGAACTAAGCCTGTTGTGCCTCAGGTGATGAGAGCACATTGACGGAGCAGATCTATCACTTCCTTTCTGTGGCTAGAATGTTTCTATGGCCTAACGTATGTTTTACTCCTACTGAACTCACCAGAGCCATTACACTTTTATTGCCACACTCTTCCCTGTAAGTTTGTGTTTTGTTTATTCTCACTTCTTAAACTGGTAATACAATCACATGGTACAAAATTTAAAATGTATAAAAGAGAATTTGATAAGGAGTGTCCTTCTCACTCCTGTTCCCCAGGCACCCAGCTCTCTTTACCAGAGTTACTCAATGTTACTAGTTTTGCATATCTTTACAGAGATTTTTTAAAACAGCTTTATTGAAGTATAATTTACATACCATAAAATTCATCCATTTTAAGTGTGCAATTCAATTATTTTTAATAAATTTATAGAGTTGTGCAAACATCACCACAATCCATTTTAGAACATTGGTCACTCCAAAAAGGGCCCTTGTACCTGTTTGCAATCAATCTGCATTCTCAGCCCCAGACAACCACTAATCTGCCTTCTGCCTTTTCTGGACATTTCATGTAATAGCATCATAATATGTAGTCTTTTGCATCTGGCTTCTTTTGCTTAGCATGATGTTTTCAAGGTTCATCCACGCTGTAGTATGCATCGTAGTTCCTTTTTCTTGCTGATTAGTATTCCGTTGTATGGATAACAGCACATTTTGTTTATCCAATTACCAGTTGTTGGACATTTGGATTGTTTCATTTTTTGGATAATATGAATAATGCTGCTATGAACATTTGTGTAAAAGTTTTTGTGTGGCCATGTGTTTTCTTTAGGGTATATACCTGGGAGTGGAATTGCTGGGTTATATGATAAGTTTTATGTTTAATTTTTAAGAAAATGCCAGTGTTTTCCAAAGTGGCTGTACCATTTTACAGTCCCACCAGCAATATGTAAAGGTGCTAGTTTCTCTGCTTCCTTGTCAACACTTAGTATTGTTCATCTTTTTTATTATAGTCATCCCAGTGGATGTGAAGTGGTGTCTCCTTGTGATTTTAATTTGCATTTCACTAATGACTCATGTTGAACATATTTTCATGTGCTTATTGGGCCACTCGGTCTTCTTTGGTGAAATGTCTATTCAAATCTTTTGCCCATTTTTAAATTACATACGTGGAATGTCTCACTGTTTATTTAAATCTTTAATTTTTCCCTCCAATGTTTTATCGTTTTCAGTGTGCAAGCCTTGCACTTTTGTTGTTAGATTTATTCCTAAATATTTCATTCTTTTTGATGCTATCGTGAATAGAATTGTCCCCTTAATTTTATTTTCAGATTGCTCATTGCTAGAATAGAAACACAATTGATTTTTTATCCTATTGATCTTATATTCTGCAATCTGGCTAAACTTATTTACTAGTGCTAGTACTTCTTTATAGATTCCTTAGCATTTTCTCAGACAGGATCATGTCATCTGCAAATAAAAACAGTTTTACTTCTTCCTTTGCAATCTGGGTTCTTTTCTTTCACAGGTATTTGATACATAAAAAAGCAAATACCTGCATGTTTTCTACCCTTTTTCACAAAAATGGCAGCATACTTTGCTTTTTGTACTTAATAATCTATCTTGCAAATCTGTTTCAGTACCTAAAGTACTTTCTCCTCTTTTTTTTTCTCAGCAGCTGCAGGTGTAGTATGTTGGCCAGTCAGTCACATCTTCTCACCACCCTTTCTGCACTTAGACATTTTGGGTTTTTTAACATCATAATAGTCTGATAGTTTTATATTAGTTTTTTACAATTTACAATGTAAATCATTTGTTTTTTTATAACACTTCTGTAATTTCAGAAATGCAACTGTGCCCTTTTCTAGATGGGGGACCTGGCACAGAGAGATTATGGCTTGCTCAAGTAGAGATAGTCACTAAAGAGAAGATCTGAGACTGGCTTAGATGACTCCAGATCCAGAACTTTTTCTCCTGCTACAAAGTTGCTGCCATTCCTTCAGCCTAATGTATAGGGCTTTACAATTACCCCTTGTTTGATTTAGCCCGTCATTCCTGTTATTACTTGGGATTCTGACAGCCATTTAGGCCCTCTCAGATGTGTATCGTATGGGAAATCTGCTTTTCATATCTCTGAGACATTGATATATAAAATGTCAAGAAGGAATAGCCAGAGCAAACCAAGTGACCAGCACATAGTAGGTGCTTGGTAAATATTTGTTGTCAAATGTAAGATATACCACTCATAAAGGCCTCTCTCTGTGTTGATAACAATATTTGGGTAAGAGTGGTTCAACTAGTTATGGTTCTAGCAACTTATATTATCATTCAACCCATGTAACTCCATCTTGCCCTCAAAGATGTCATGAGAAGTTTTGTCACTCACATCTAGTTGTACTCTACACATTTTTTTGCTCTGCCAGTTAGTGCCATATGTACTAGGAAAAACAAGGCTACCCTGGCAGGGCTTATTCTGTCTGCCTTACTGAGCCCTGGCTGAAATTTGCTAATCTTGTCTTTGACTTCCAAATGCTTGCAAACTATCAGATTGCTGATCCATTCTAGAATTTTACAGGTCATCAGCGTTAAACCCACCAGTTTGCAATGCTTAATTTTGAAAATTAAAACATTTTCTGGGGGCTGGCCCAGTGGTGCAGCAGTTAAATGCGCACGCTCAGCTTCAGTGGCCTGGGGTTCGCCGGTTCGGATCCTGGGCGTGCACTGACGCACCACTTGTCAAGCCATGCTGTGGCGGCATCCCATATAAAGTAGAGGAAGATGGGCACGGATGTTAGCCCAGAGCCAATCTTCCTCAGCAAAAAAGAGGAGGATTAGCATTGGATGTTAGCTCAGGGCTGATCTTCCTCACAAAAAAAAAAAAAAAAAAACATTTTCTGTCCCCAGACATCTAACAAAGTTCCTCTTCTCCAGGATTCTGTTGCAAAGCCCCTGGAATAAAGTTTATCTAGTTCAGGGGAGCAGATACTCTCAGTTTCATTTCCTGACTTGGACTTCAATTCACCTCTACCAAACTTGCTTAAGTAGACAATCACCTGGCATTTATTCAATATAGATGCTCAGACCCCTCCCCTAGAGATTCCAATTCATTGTTCTGGGTTTGGCCCCTCCCCCAGGAGATTTATGATAAGGAAGTTTAAACAATACAGTTTTATACTATATTTGTTCAACTCTATTTTGATAATCTTTTTGTCATCCACTAACATTCCACCATCAACTTCAATCCATGAACTTGCCCTTCATTGCTCTACTTGCTCTGAACATAACGAAAAAGGCCTTTGTGGGGGCCAGCCCCATGGCGTAGCGGTTAAGTGCGCGTGCTCCGCTGCTGGCAGCCCAGGGTTCGCCGGTTCAGATCCCGGGCGCGCACCGACGCACTGCTTGTCAGGACATGCTGAGGCGGCATCCCATATAAAGTAGTGGAAGATGGGCACGGATGTTAGCCCAGGGCCAGTCTTCCTCAGCAAAAAGAGGAGGATTGGCATGGATGTTAGCTCAGGCTGATCTTCCTCACAAAAAAAAAAAAAAAAAAAAAAATCAACCTGGTGGTTATTTATTTAACAAGTATTTATTGTGTGTCTACTATATGCCAAGTACAGCAAAGACAGAAG